CCTTGCTCAGACGCTCACTGGGTAGGTATGATAGGGGCATTTGCCGTAGTCAAGACAGTTGTGCCAGAACAAGGGCCTGCAAGCAGTGACAGGCGCTCAAAGATTGGCATGTGCAGGGACAACAGATGTGCCAGCCTTGTTGTGCGGGCGTGGCTGCCCCACTCTATGCGCGCTCTCTGTGCCTCAGCAGTGACACGTACCGCTCATGCCCGCTCATTGTCCCTATATATATGCCCCGAGACTTTTACGACGCAAAAGCGGGATGCGCAGACAAATGCCCCACCAAAAGACACGTACGGAGGTCCATGGAGATGGCCGGAGCTACTTTTACGCCGTAAAAGGGGCGCAGACAGATCTGCTGCCATACGCGCCATATGCGCGCCATACGCTGCGCATCCTTGGCTGGTAGCGCACGCACGCAAGCACGCATGCACTCCAAGCACGTGACTGTGAGATCAAATTCAAACTCTTGATTCAAGATTTGATTGCCCAAGCACGCAGGCACGTGACTGTGAGATCAAATTTGATCTTGCACGCAAGCACGCACACACGCACGCACGTGACCCCTGCGTCCGCATGGGCTTTGGCTGTGAGATCAGATTTGATCCTATACATATGCCCCGAGACTTTTACGGCGCAAAAGCGGATGCGCAGCCAAATCCCCCGCCAAAAAATGCGTCCGGAGGTCCGCGGATCCACGGACTTTCACTTTTACGCCGTAAAAGCACGCAGACAGATGCGTGCCATACATGCCATACGCGCCATACATGCCATACAGACGCGCACATCATACAGACGTGTGCCTGCCATACAGATGTGTGCGCCATATGGATGCGCACTTGCCATACAGATGCGTGCGCCGTACAGACAGATGCGTATGCCATACAGATGTGTGCGCCATACAGATGCGTGCGTCATACAGACGCGCAACGCACAGAGACATCTGCCATACACAGGCATGCGCACCATACAGATGCGTGCGCCATACAGACGCGCAACACACAGAGATACCTGCCATACACAGGCATGCACGCCATACAGATATGCAAGCCTATGGCAGCTCAAATGGTTGTTGTACCCACCTGCGGTAGCTCAAACCAACCGCCATACTACATCAATGCTCTGTAGTCAACCTACAGGTACTCCCTACGCATACCGTACACCCCTACGGTAGCTCAAACACCTGTCGTACTACCCTACGGTAGCTCAAATCAGCTCAAATCACCTGGCGTACTACAGTGACCTATGGCAACTCAAAGCACCCACCATACCCACCTACACCTACGGTTGCTCCCTACAGGCACCATACACCCCTCTGGTACCTCCAACGCCTGTTGTACTACATCAGAGCTCTGTGTTCACTGTATGCACCTAGGGTCACCCCCTGCGCGTACTGTACACCCCTATGGTAGCTCAAATCAACTGTCGTACTACATCACTGCTCTTTAGTCACCGTATTACCTACGGTAGCTCCCTACGCGTACCATAGACCCCTACGGTAGCTGTAATCAACCGTCGTACTACATCAATGCTCTGTAGTCACCGTACTCACCTACGGTACCTCCCTCACGTGTACCGTACACCCCTATGGTAGCTCAAACACCTGTCATACTACCTCAGAGCTCTGTGTTCACTGTACGCACCTACGGTAGCTTGAATGGCTGTCGTAACCACCTACGGTAGCTCAAACATCCATCGTACTACATCAAAGCTCTGTGTTCACTGTACCCATCTACGGTTGCTCCCTACATGTACCGTACACCTCTACGGCAGCTCAAACTCCTGTCGTACTACATCAAAGCTCTGTGTTCACTGTACTCACCTATGGTACCTCCCCTACGTGTACCATACACCCCTATGGGAGCTCAAACACCTGCCGTACTGCATCAAAGCTCTGTGATCACTGTATGCATCTACGGTAGCTTGAATGGCTGTTGTAGCCACCTACAATAGCTCAAACATTCATTGTACTACATCAAAGCTCTGTGATCACTGTACGCACCTACAATAGCTTGGATGGCTGTTGTAAATACCTACGGTAGCTCAAACACCCATTGTACCACATCAAAGCTCTGGGTTCACTGTACCTCTCTAGAGCTGCGGCCGCTTGCGCAACTGCCAGACTTGCGCAACTGCCAGACTTTGTTGGCCAATTCAAGGAGCACAAGCTAGCAAAAAAGTCGCAGATCAGAGCTCTGTGTGCAGGCAAAACTACAAAAGTAGGCAGCAGTGGTTATCTCCCAAAGTCACTTGTGTATTCTAGCAAGCTGCCCTATGCCTGTCAGCCTTAGACAGAACTGGGGCGTGGCTGTCGGGATGTGTCGCAACACGGTAGCTCTTCGAGTTGCTGCGGCATAGCCTTGCAGTTAGGGGCCTCCACAAACCAGGATAGTCCCCCTCACAGGTCTAGCAATAGGCCGTCAAGCCTTTGAGCGAAGCTCGAAGGTAGATGCATTGCAAATTGGGCTTTGAACCTCAGTTTTGTATTGTGTTCAGTAACTCTGGTACGCCCATTGAGAGCTGACTCAATCCAAAAGGAAAGCTTCAAGGTTTGGTTTGCTCTGCGCACGCTCGTATGATGTAATGCACTCAAGCTTGTATTGAGTGTCCAGCTTGTAGCACGCTTCAAGTCAATTGAACAGTGCTGTAATGCTGCATTATGGGGAGCAATCTGAAATCAGATGCATATGTTGACGTAATGGAGATGGTGGTCTGCCTAACCTGTTGCATCAATGAGGATTGCGGTGATGAATGATGTCTTCTGCAGGTGAGATTGCATGATTGGCCCTTCAGTTGGTTTGCAATCATTTGATCAATTGCGTTCATTTGGTTGGCTTGCGTTCATTCAGTTGGCTTGCATTTATTCAGTTGGCTTGCGTTCATTCAATTGGCTTCAATCGATCAATCGATTGCGTTCATTCAGTTGGCTTCAAACAATTGTCATTCATTCAGTTGGCTTCAATCGATCAATCAATTGCGTTCATTCAGTTGGCTTCAAACAATCGTCATTCATTCAGTTGGCTTCAATCGATCAATCGATTGCGTTCATTCAGGTGGCTTCAAACGATCGTCATTCATTCAGTTGGCTTCATCATCGATCATTCAATCGATACGTTCATTCAGTTGGCTTCATCATCGATCATTCAATCGATACATTCATTCCGTTGGCTTCAATTGATCGATCAATCGATCGCGTACAATGGGTAAAGGCTGGATTTGAGGGTTTACTAGGGCTAATAAGTACACTGAGTAAAGGCATGGATTTGAGGATGTAATAGAGCTAATAAGTACAATGGGTAAGAGCTGGGTTAGATTCAGGTAATGGCATGGTGGGTGTAGCAAAAACTATTACTTAGAGAGCACCTGCAAGCTTACAGGGGGCGCTTTGTAAGCAAGCAGCACTGTGTGAACGCAGATGCAGTGTAGACCGTGAGGGCAAGACATTGCGCATCATGGGGCTTGTAACAACGGGATGCCGTACGTTACAAGTCTGTGCTCAAGAGCAGGCTAAAGCACCGGTGTGTCATGCACTGAGTCTGCTCATCTAGGGGGTTTACATGGCCCGACTGGTGTGCACCAGTTGGGCTGGGTAAGCTCTCTCAATTGAGGTGCAAGAGGGGTGAGGACAGAGACTACTATAGACTTGACAACGTACAGCATTTCAAACCATTGGCTGTGCCCATCTACGGTGGCTCAAAGCACTCACCATACTACGTCATTGCCCTGTGGTCACTGTACCCACCTACGGTAGCTCAAACAACCGCCGTACCACATCAACACTCCATGTTCACTGTACCCGTCTACGGTAGCTGCCTATGCATACCGTACACCCCTACGGTAACTCAAACCATCTGCCGTACATCAAAGCTCTGTGATCACTGTACGCACCTACGATAGCTTGAATGGCTGTCGTAGCCACCTACAATAGCTCAAACATCCATCGTACTACACCAAAGCTGATCACTGTACCCATCTACCGTTGCTCTCTACGCGTACCGTACACCCCTACGGTAACTCAAACCATCTGCCGTACATCAAAGCTCTGTGATCACTGTACGCACCTACGATAGCTTGAATGGCTGTCGTAGCCACCTACGATAGCTCAACCATCCATCGTACTACACCAAAGCTGATCACTGTACCCATCTACGGTTGCTCTCTACGCGTACCGTACACCTCTACGGTAACTCAAACCATCCACTGTACATCAAAGCTGATCACTGTACCCATCTACAGTCGCTCTCTAGGCGTACCGTACACCCCTACAGTAGCTCAAATCAACTGCTGTACTACATCAATTCTAGGCAGTCACCGTACTCACCTACGGTAACTCCCTGTGCGTACCATACATCTCTACAGTAAATCAAATGATCTGCCGTACTGCAGTAACCTACGGTAGCTGAAACCACCCACCGTATTGGCGCCGTGCCAGTGCTCCACTGGCGCTGCTAGGACTCCTTGCGCAACTGCACAATTTCAGTAGCCAATCCAAGGAGCTTCAGCTAGCAAAAAAATCGCAGATCAGAGCTCTGTAGGCCCAGAAAACAGCTATATTACTGGCCAAAGT